AGTTTTCCAGTGTATTATTGTTCAAATTTAAGATTTGAAGTACCACTCAAAACACTTGATCTCTTAAAAATTTTTCCTAGTGATTTCAAAAACTATATCTTTTGTTATGAAAAAACATATGATAAAGACTAAACATCTTTATTAGCTAGAATATTTCTTTTTCTTGGATGTTATAATGGGTCTTATAATTTATAGTTTGTGTACTGACCTATGTGTGTGTGTACAGGAGTAGAAGTTTGTGGGAGTAGGGTTTTGTGCGACTTTTGAGGAAGATCAGGAGGGAAGTTCATCCAAAGAGCAAATCTTGAAATTTCCCTTTTTGTGTATGTGGTTTATTTGTTTTTTAAATCTTGTTTGCTCACAGACTTTGAAAAGCATTCTAAGTTCCTCATATAATTAGATAACTAGAGATTTGCCGTAGGCTGTGAAGACATGATTAATTATATGCCATTAAATTATTTTCTTATAAATCTGTTTTCTTTTTTAAATCATGTTTTATATTTTTACTCCTGATGCCCCTTGATCTCCATGCTCTCAGCAGGCCTCCAAACTGCACACATTATTGCCTCATTGTGATGTGGATTTTAATATATGATTTTTATATATAATTTATCTGTGGTTTTTTTTTTCAGTTGAGTGGCAAGGTCATTTATATAAAATAGGATTGATTCTGAAATGTAATGGCAGAGAAAGAAATGAGAATAAAAATCTCTATTACATTTGGAACATTACTAAAGTACCTTCAGTTATGTCATGTAAAGGCTATTCTTGGTCTCAGTTTATTCACCTGTGAGATAGGAAAATTGGGCAAGATAACTTCTTCTTATCCTCCTTCCTCTCCTTCTCCTCCCCCTCCCCCTTTTCCTCCCCCTCCCCCTCCATCACACAAGTAGTAAGTGTCTGAGGACAGATTTGAATTTAGGTCCTCCTGACTCCAGGGCCAGTGCTCTATCCACTGTGCCACTTAGCTGCCCTGGACATGATAATTTCTAAGTCCCTTTCTAGCTCTAAAATTCTATGGTTCTATGAAGGAGCAAGGAAGCAAATAAGTGAGGCAGCCTGTAGGGTGCAGTGGACAGAGCACTGAGTTGGTAGTTTGAGGACCCAGTTTCAAGTTCCACCTTTAATACAAGGTTGCCTTATGATTTGGAACAGGCTGTTTAATTTTCATGGTCCTCAGTTTCCTAATGTTTAAAATGCAGGAGATTAGAACTGAAGGCCTCTGAAGATTCTCACAGCAGTAGACGCATATGTGATCCTGCAATTCTGTGACATATTGAGGCACTCTTCCACTTCCTAGGGGTCTCTTTCCCTGGCTCTTCTATTGCTCATAGAGCTTTCATTATACCACCAAGAGTTACCTTAGCAAGTGTGAAATAGTTCACCAGATTATACTTACTTCAGCTGACAGAAAACATTGAACATATTAGCAAACATTTCTGAACTACTGGTGTTTTGATAACAAATTAATAAGGATCTTCCTTATCAGAGAAGATTTACATCTTCCCAATTGATAAAGATACCCATACGACTGCTCAATTTCAGTAATGTAGGTAGCCTGGGCCCTCTGGCATTTGTTCACCTTGTTGTCCTATGATCAGTCCATTCCTGCTTTGTGAATATTTACACCAAATTAATTGTCAACTATTGTCACTGAATAACTCTTCTAATGACATTGAAGTAAACCTAACAAGATAGACCAATCTTAAGTCTTTTTGACACAATAGCCATAGAATAATGGAATTCCAGAGTATAATGGAATATAGAAGGCATACAGTGCCCCCTCCCTTTTATATGTGGAAAAACTAAAACTTGACCAAGTTTTACTTATTTTACTAACTTTACTAACTAACTAGTAAGTGACAGGGACTAGACTTATTTCCTGATTCTCATTCTTGTGATCTTACCATGGCATTCTGCTTTCCACTAACATCTACAAGCCTTCTCCCTCTATTCTTCCTGGAATATACTTAATTTGATCTTCCAATAGCTTTGACATTCTAGTCCTTTGGCCATGTACAAAATGCATATGTAGAATTTGTGCAATCTGAAACTTTAACTTTGGATATATGTTTGATGAAAACAAATAGTATAAAAAAAAAAAGCATGAAACCTGAAAATGTAAGACACTACCCAATAGTCATCAGGGAATGTATCAGACTCTGAACCATATTGGGCATCCAAAAACATGGCTTCCAATTATAGTATAGTAGGCACTGAATACATTGGTTAAATTAATTATATGTACTATTAAGCTGTCTATGATATCAAATGGAACACATTTGTTATTAATAGGTAATTACCTCATGTGATATAAATTGGGCCTTAATCAACTAAGAAATGAAGAGATGATCTTGAAGCATGTAGATTTGAACTCTTTTGATTTAAAACTTTGAGTTATGTTTACAAATGTGTGTCGTTTGTTTCTGTCATTACTATAACCAAAACTCTTAATAATAGTCACAAAAAATGTAAAAAGGACCTTGAGATGTGCAAAGGGATTTCCTTTAAGGTAAACACGAAAGCAAAAAAGCAAATTCCTAAAGTTTAAACATGTATGGGTCTGAACCTGTGGCCTTAAAATATAAAGTTGTGTGAGACCTATAAGTACTCTGCCTTTTGAAGATATGGACGTAGTAGACAGTAGAGGACAACTAGATGAGGATCATAAAATGCTCTTTGTTATAGTCTTGTATAACAATTTCTCCCAAGGCTATTAAGAATGGAATATGTACAGTGGGCAAAAAGCATACACTTTGAAATATTTGTCATGACATTTTAATGTATTTTTCATCACATATCCATTTCTTAAAATATCTAGACCAGAAATTCTTAACTTTTTATGTCATGCACCCCTTTGGTTGTCTAGAAAGGCGTAAGGCGTAAGGACGCCTTCTCAGAATGAGGTTTTTAAGTGCATAAAATAAAATATATTCGATTACAAAGGAATCCAATTATATTGAGATACAGCTATCAAAATATTTTTTAAAAGTTCACAGACTTCAAGTTAAGGCTATACGTTAACAATGATTACATGAGAGATTCTTTTAAGTCCCTGAGAAATAACTTCTTCTGAATATGGTAATGAGAAAACAAAGTTCAATCATACTTCCAGACAAAATAAAAAAATACTGATACAACCTCATAATGAAGCATTTCCAGACAAGGAATATTCTAGATATGGTTCAGAAATTATTATCTCAAAGAAGCCATACATTTCTGAAGATACTACACAGAGAAACACACAAGCAGTTTCTAGTGATTGCCCAGAAAACAATGTATTCACATTATCTATAACATAAGAAAGCACTCCTAACAGCTAGTGTCTTTGTCAGAATTTTCATGATGTCAACCTGTATAAGAGTAAAGAACCAAAATTAAAATTGTTGCAAAATGTCCAGTAAACTATGTTCTAAGAACAAACAAAGTTTTAAAATGTAATGTTTTATCATTACATGTATGTGTGTGCGTGTGTGTGTTTTTCAAAACTCTGATCTTATGTGCGTGAGAAATTCACAGTATGGAAACCCCTTCTACCCTTGCAGATCTTCAGCTAGGTTGCAACTTACCTAGTCTTAGAAAGTTGCCAATGGCACTGAGAGGTCAAGTACTTTGTTCACGTCCACACTGCTAAGTATGTGTCAGAGGTAGGACTTCTGACTCCACTCTCCACTATGCCACCTTTACAATGGAATCATAAAATTATAGGAGTGTAGAGTTAGAAGAAACCTCAGAAGCCAGTCAGTGCAAGCTCTACCCATTGCAAGAATCCCATCTATAGTATTCCACAGGCAACAACAAGCTGTCCTTCATATTCTTCTTGACCCAGATAACCATCATGTGGTTTAATCTGGATCCCAAGTAGCTCATTTTGGCCTCTTTCAATTTATTATGACACACCTTAAACACTCATTCATGTGCTCAGATATTATTAATTAACAGAAATATGGGTAATCTTTAAAGAAATTGTTGCCAATAGCAGAGATCCATGCAAGAGATACCTGGACTCATTCCATTTACCTGTCTTTTATATCACGGAAGTTTTAAAGAGTATTTAAGTTTTGCAATGTCATTACCTGAAACAAATGTTCATCTAGTTGTTATAAATAGCCTGATCTTCACATATGCATCATAATAAAGGAAATCATTTCTTCTCTGAGAGAGCAGGAGATAAAATTAAATAATGAATGGTTTGTTTGCACCATTCATTCTAAAATATAAGATCATACAGATCCTATGAACTGATAAATCTAAAAGGTACTCTCCTTGATGCCTATTTATCATCATAACTGCAGTTGTTCTGATTATGTTCTAATCATGCTCCAACCAAGAATAGGCTGTTTTGAGCTTTCTGTGCATTCTGGAACTAACAACACTGATTAAAAAAGATTGGTGCTAATCTTAACACCCTGGTCTTGATTGCTATGAAAAGAATTCCTTTTTTGCTAAGGAATGTGCTTAAGGAGACTAGAAAACAACAGCTCAGGCCTTTTCTGAGACTGTTTTTCATGAGCCAGTCCGAGGAGTTACTATAGCCAGCCAACATGGGAATTTCTTTTCTGTCTTCTTACTTTCCTGGAAGTCGTTTTGCCCATTAAGAGTATGTTTATTCTTAAAACAAAAATGGGGCAATCTATGTGTAAGAAAGCTGCATTTTATTGTTCATTGATCACTTTTTCTGCAACTTTGAAACCTTTGATAAATTTGAATGTATGTATCAAATATATTTCCTAAAAGGACTTTCTTTGGCTGTTAAATCTTTAAATGCAGCATAAATATGTCTATGTCTTTTATCCCCAATTAATAATTGCTTAAAGTAATTGACATGCTTTCCTTAGAGTAGGACATGTTTGAATTTTGAATTGTCGTTATAAAAATTGTAAAGTCCTAAAATGGGTACTTTGACTAAATATGCAAAGTTCCCCCCCACTCCCCTTAATAGCCACCTTGAACCAGGCAGGTTTGCAACATTTTAAACTGGCACTTCATCCCTCTTTCAGCAAGCATCCTCTGCAGATTTAATGATCAGGAACATCCTTCTGATGCATGCTGGGAGATATGGCTGCAGGGTACAGACCACAGCCGACAGTGTGTCAGATGAGGCAGATCTTCTTGTTAGGGGTGAGTATGTTCATAGTGCAGTCTGAAGGCATGATCACCATAAATTACCATGCAAAGGAATTTAAATGCATGTACTTTGAGCACATCAGTACTGTGCATTATACTTCCAGTTTTATAATACATGTCTTTTTTTGTTTAACCTTTGTCTCTGAAAGAACCTAAATGGTAAATTGGTTCATAGTTCATAGTTCACACAATCAACAAACCCAATGAGAAGAATCAAGGTATTTTTAGTAACAAGAAATTATAAACATCTTTATTTAGTGCAGTTTGGTGAATGGAACTGGCAACAATGCTAAACAGAATTTTAAAAATTAAACTCTTGAGTCAATAAGACATTTGGACTTTGTAAGTAAAATTTTTAAAACTCTTATGGCAAATATACATAGTGTTTCAGTAACTCTTAGATCCTGTTTTTATGACAGAAAAAAAGAGAATTTCATTTATAACATGAGAACATTTAGGTCTATTAACTAACAGGGGCCTAAAATATCTGAAGATGTTAACATAAAGATTATCTGTGAATAAATTAAAACTCACTGTCTTATTGAAACCACAGACACAAATATATATATATATTTAATCTTCCATATGATGCTTCTTGAATATCATTGTGTATTGCATGTCATGACCCTTATTAATTCTCTGGCCGTATAGCTTTCTCATTTTATCCAATGGTAGCAAAACCTTATGTTCTGGAATAATGTCTTGCCATTTATCTATCTTGCACAGTTCCTACTAATTATAAATTCATATTTAAAATCTCAAAGTTGTGGAAATACATGAGTTTTCCAATATTTGTATTTAGCCATTTCTATTCAAGTGTTTACTGACTTCTGTTTTATGTCCATTATTGGTTAAAAAATATATATATTTCTAAGAGAAGAAATGCTATTTCCTCACGTGGGGAGACTCATTCACTTTTTTTACCCTCAGAAAGGCTAGCTGTATTTCACTTGAGCTTATGTGGAGAGTATGCATCTTTATTATTGGCCTGTTATAAACATTTAGCTTACTCAGGGTGTTCATCCTTTTCATAGAAATCTAGTAACTTATAAGTCCACCTTTGTGCTACATTAATGAGTCTTATAAACTTCCTTCCCTGTCACAGCAGGCAAGTTTATGGAACAATTGTCATTTCTTCAGCTCACCTAGTCTACTTCAGATTATCTCTATTTATTCTTTAGACTTGGTAGTCATTTAGAATGATGCTACTTAGATTGGAGCATTTCAAAAGGAACAATGCAATTTGGACTCCCTTATTATTCTTTTTGGATATTGCAAGGGGTGAATTGAAATAGCATGCTCACATTCTGCTTTGTAAGTAAAATTAAACTAAACAAGGCTTGGAACATAACTCAGGTTTGGCTGTTTCATGTTCTGCTCATCTAGCCTTTGGCTTTATGCCTAGGAAATGATAGAATACATAAATTCCAGAATTATACTTGATAGCAATTTCAAACAGGTTGCTATTGTCTGAATATTCATGTAACATTCAACTTAGGAGCTTTCACTTTGCTAGTTTGATCATGTAGTCAATTTCCTATTATATATTTGTATTATTTCTCTAAAATTAACATAAATGGCTAAGTAAATACCACTGTGTTGTCCAATTGGACCAAACCAGGTCTAAGCACTGAATTAACAGTTCTTCTGGTCTTCTCTCCCCCTACCCCGACACACACACACTCACACACACAATTCTTAAATTAATAATTCCTAGTGACTAGTGGATATTAGATGGTTGGGAGTTGTTGGTTTTTATATAGAATTTTTAATATAATCTTCATATATATCTCTCTCTTCCTTTATGCCTCCATTCACTGGTGTACAATGTCCTATATTTATCCAGTCCCAGGCTAGAGTATCAGAGTGAAGCTTTTTAGGTTAAACCATTTATGATGCTAGCCACAATTTCAGTAGCAGAGTCAAACAAAAGGTTACTTGGAAGTATGTCATAAAAGGGAATTCCATTATCTGTTTATCTCTTCTGTAGGAGGTGATCACTGTATTGGATTTAAGGATTAAGGATTTTGGGAAGTGAGTGAAATATGTTACCATTGGGACTAAACCAGGATGGGGAAGAGAATGTTCCCATTGCTCTCATACACTATAAGTGGAGATTTAGGAAATCTATATATTTCCATATAAGAAATTCTATTTATCCTCATCTCATCAAAGCCAGTCAAAGTTTGATTTTGCAGGCCCCTAAAGCTAGGATTGCCTGTGTAGACACCAACAATTTCTGCATGGTACCTCTGATACTTTAAGGACTTTCTGCAATACTTATTTCCATTGTGACTATGTGTTGTCTGTGAATGTCAGCGGTGTTATTTGCCTCTACCATTACCATCTTCCAAAAATGAAATTTCCCCATAAATAATCACCTGAAGCATAAAAATCACTTGTTTTAAGCACTTAATATTCAGTGAAGCAGTATTATGATGGTATTATGCATAATTTGGAAAAGCATAATTGAAGTATGAATATGCTAGAGGAAATTATTCTGGTATAGTATAAAATGAAAAGGTGATACACCTGAACAACTGTCCACAATTTTAGATACTTATTCTAGTACGACATAACACTACAGAATGTATGGATAGATGATACCATGGGGAACTCTTTTAAATCAATAGAACTATAGTGCTTTATGGGGGAGGTGTAGGGAGATAAAGAAAGAGAGGACAGAGAGAGAGAGAAAAGAGAGAAAGAGAGAGACAGACAGACATTGAATGTCACTGATGAAGATATTTCATTGAAAAGAACTAAGACTCTTGGACAATTTAAAAAGATCTGTCACAATAAAAAGAACCTAAGAAGAGAAATATAAATTATTTTCTTTTATAATAATATAAATAATATGATTCTCAGATCACATAGAAAGATAATTTTATACTCAGGACATAAATACTGCTGAGGAAAGTAACAGCATGGCTATCAAGATCAAAATGAGTTAAATTTAAACATAGTTAAAGAGAGTTCTAGGCAGGAGGTGCAGCTACCCGTCACATCCAGGAGAAGCTCCCAAACTTTAAATTTTCATGATCTGCATTACTTTTGCTACTCTGCTTTGAAGTAGTTTTCAAAAGGGCCACAACTTATGGAGTAATCTTTGGATTTTGTTGGTGAAGGTCTATTATGACTTGCTCTCAGAAAAAAAATCACCTTCTTAGTTCCTTCTAGACATGCGCTCTCTGTGCCCCAGAGTTGGGTAACAATCCCATTCACGGGGCTATCCCTTCCTGGAATGCCTAAGAATTCACTAAGGTAATGAAGGTCAATTCAAGACAAACCTTTAACCCACCCTCCCTCAGCTTCTTCCTTGCAATGTACAAATCAAATGATGCTTTTCAAACCAATTTATCTTTCTCCTCTCAAACTTTCCCAGCCTATTTCTCCCTTTTAAAAATAAGTCCCTTGAAATTTCATTTTCTTTCCTTTCTTCACCTACTTTCTTTTGTCCATTAAGAGGCTAGTGGTATGAACCTTGAACTCAGGATAGAGTCTAGGAATGGGTATATGAATCTAGGAGTCATCTACAAAGAGATGACAATTGAACCCAAGGAAGCTGATGAAATCACTAACAGAGAGAATATAGAAAGACAGGTGGGTTCAGGAGAGCAACTTGTGAGGCCCCTGCCAGAGAGTGGGCCATTGATGATGATCCAGAAAAGGAGACAGAATGAGCAGGCAGACATGAAAGAGGAGTTTCATGAAAACCCAGAGAGGAGAGAATATCTGGGAGAAAAGGATGGTCAACAGTATTAAATGTTGTAGAGATGTCAAGAAGGATGAGGACTGAAAAAAGGCTGTTCCACAAACATTTTATTAAGTTACATACTATAAGAAAAATCTATGCTAGATACTTGAGAAACAAAGACTGAGATCCCTCTCAGCTATGATGTCATGTGATGTTTCCTCCTCGAGCTTACAGAAATGTACAACTTTGCACTGAGGATCTTGCCATAACAGAGGGGACAGTTGAAGGATTTTCTTTTCTCTGAATCCAAAAGTATAAAGCATTACTGTTCTCAGGCCCAAGGGAGAAGAATCTACTTCAGGAAATATTTGGTAATACTTTCTGAATAATTGTGGTGAGGAAGAAGACAGCACTGGTTTGTCTCAGCCTCAAATATCTCACACAACAGTTTGTCTTTCACCATGGCATGAGTTATAATTTGGTTTCATTTTCACAGCACTGCACTCGTGAGACACAGAGGTCATGATAATAACAGAATTGATCCAAAAATTTAGCTCTGACTACTTTTCAAAACTTCGAAGCACAAGAGTTCACAAAGTACTTAAGACAACTTTTTTATTGTTTTCTTTTTCTCACATTCGAGTATTGTGCAGTAAGTTGTTTTCCCAATTTTTGAAGGGTTTGTAAATTTGTTATTAGAGAACTGTACACACCTTCAAAATGATGATAGTTTTGGATTTGACTTATCAGGAGGTTCCATTGTTAAGAATATAAACTTAATAATGTTAAGAAGGGGAGCTGAGTTTCTCAATATGCTACAATGTTTGGGGCTTGGGAGTAGGGAAGGAAATCTCAGTTAAGTTGAGGAGCAATGAAAATTACAGTTCATTTCTCAAGTAATTTTCTTAGGTGTAATGAATAATACATTTACAAATCACACTCATAATTCACGTTAAAGTTTTCAAAAACTGTTTCTCAGAACAACTCTGTGAGTCATATAGTACACCTGGTTTTGACACCATTATATATATAGACAACTGAACTGAATCTCAGAATGATGGAGGGACACCTGGTGAACTGTCAAAGTCAGGAGTCCAATTCAAGTCTCTCCTACCTCTGATCCCAGTACTCTTTCCATTACACTGAATTGCTTCTGGATATTAATCAGTATTAATTAGGAAATGAATATTAATTAGTACTTAATTCACAAATAATTAACTTAAAATCTAAAGCAAGAGCAAATGTGTCTGTTCACTTGAAGTAAAAATATAAAAGGCCTTAAAATTAGATGGAATAA